AGTCATTGTTGCAAAACAATATTCATAGCCTCTTTTGAAAAGTTCTCTATGTATCTCAACAACATGGCTCTTTTTGCCTACTTCTTCTGGAAGACAACAGCAACAATAGCAGGCATTTATGTAACACTTTAAATATGTTCCCAGTGTTCCATATACCTCACCACAGCAGTCTTCAAAACATTCCAGTAAGGAAGGTCAGTTCCACTGCAGACAAAAGAGAGAGACTAAGACACATAAGCTTGCCCAAGGCCACATGCAATCCAAAACTACACCATGACTACTAAGGAGCAAACACCATAGTTCAATGGTGCTCCTTCCCATCAACTGCATAAAATTGGTATCTAAGGGTTTTGATGGCAGATGTGAGGCAAAATTTGAACAGGGCATTTTCTGTCTCACTGCTCAGTTCTTTTAGACTTCCATGGCACATTCACTCTCTCAAAATTGCCTCCCACAGGGCATATGCTGCTCATTCTGATGCTGACCTCAAAGGAGATGAGTTATATTCCAAGGCATTTCTCCTCTCAATTCCCATCACTTTATAGAACAGTCAAAATTTCTGGGCTACTTGTATATCAGGTCAACAGGAACTAATAACTACATTTACACCATTCATCCCTTAGGCAGCTACCCTAATGCAACCTGCCTAATTAGCTAACATCCCAGCCGGTGTCTCTTGCAATCCAGTTTGGGACCCCCAGGGGGTTATAGGTTTAAGAGGCTAGCTAGTGCCTTTCTCAGTTTAGAAGGAAAGAGAACCCTTCTGTAATGAATCATTAAATAATCAACACTATGACTTGAAAGTCTGATAAAGAAACTGGCTTTTATATATATGCCTTATGGACTCACCATCTGTCCATGTAAAAATATAACCTTAGTTCCTTCCCCTCCCCCATGCAAACCGCCTTCTTTACAGAGGTATAATTTAGGGTAAGGGAGTGCCATGTTCTTGCTGATCTTGTTAAACTGGACATCAGAAATACTTGCTGATCTACAGAAATTCACACAAGAGTTCTACTGGTTCTACTTTTTTCCCTACTCCAGTTCAAAGTAACTACTTGAGGGAATAAAACAGTAAGAAACGCTAAAGCAAAAGCTGGTGAAAATGCTATCTAAATGGGTATTGTAAATAGCCGATCAGAATAAAAGCTAAAACCTCGTTACTTACACCCATGAACATGAACCCCAGAGCCATAACTTTCAGTGGCACATTGACAATAAATAAGAAATCAAGACTTGCTTTTTTGTTTTGTTTTGTTTCAGAGCTGTTGCCGACTCAGCACATGACAAGGGAAATACAGTAAGTGTTGACTCTGTAAGTGGTGGCAAGTCACCACTGAAAGTCACACTGGTGGACCAGTATAAGTATGCAATAGGATTCCAGCCAAAGATTTCAAAATCAAGTTCTAATCCTTGTCTTTTCCCCAGACCATGCCCCACCCCTGTTTCCCCTGGGCTAATGGAGTCCCCGTGTCCTGTTTTTCTATGTCCTCATTTCTCCCACCCCTTTTCAAAGGTCCATCCAAGGGCTCTTCCACTTTCCAGAACAAGGACCAAACATCCATGGCTCAGCTTGCCCCTTTGTTACACTGCAGGAGCTCAGCCAGCCATCAAATCCCTTCAAGAACTGTTACAAAACAGATTTTGAACCAGGTTGAACAGCCAGATTTAAATGGAAGAACTTTGCCGCAGGACTTCTAAAAGATATTATAGCCCTTAATCTTAAAAAAAAACCTAATTAGGCAGACAATTTGAATGAGCCATTTGCCTCACAGGTTGCAAAGACTCAAATTAAAAAAGAGCAACAAAGTACATCATCATCATCATAATCTCAGCACGAAATTATGATATACTGAGCTCATAAATACAAAAAGGTAATCTGTATAATGCTTGCTCTGAACAAAATATATCTCAAGGCACGATGTGAAGAGTTACTTTTGATTTTAAAAAATAAATCTTCCCCTGGCTTGGCAGCAGAGTATCTGAAAGACCACCTGATCTCATATGAAGCAGACTATTAATGAAGATCTTAAAGCAACAGGGCATCCTCAGAGGTCAGGCAGCTGGCGATGTGTGAGAGGACAGCTGGCATTTAATCACCCCAAATGAGGGCTCTCCCCACAAACATACAGGCGGCAGCTACTTTGCAGTATGCAGTTTCGTGAGTAAATAGTTTGGCACCTACCTACTTGCAGCAGAAGACAAAATGAAACTCATTGTGGAATTGACACAACATACTCATCCACTGCTGAACTTAATCAGCTTGGGCACTTCCAAGATACTTTTGACTTCATTGGCATTTTTCTCCTTTATCCTCTTTTCTCCTTTTACTAGTTAAAACTGCATGTTTAAATTTTTGATGTGATGTTTTTACTTTTGTTCAACTACCCTGGAACATTTACTATATACAGTTATAACACTTTTTAAAATGGAGACCAAAATGAAACTACAAGTCCCAAATCTGATAACTACTCATCTGCTTTCTACTGACCAACCTGCATGCAATTACTGTACGGCATTTAGGAATTCAGCCATCAGACAAGTTCAGTCTAGTAAATTATTGGTCCCACATTTACACCCTTGGGGCATTGTGCCCTACTTCAAGAGAACAGTTTGGCTTCTAAGGATCAGAAGCAAACATGCCAGAGCTATTACTGGCCCAGGCATCTCAACATAAATACCATGATCTGAATGCATATACTAACCATAACTGCATTAACATTATGTGTAGTTTAAGATATTTAGCACTATGATTCCATATACACTTTAGTTCTCCTTGTTTAGTCATTATTTGTAATCATGGAGGAGGGCTTTGCACACACTCTGACTCCACCCCTTCACCCTTAACCCTCTTGTGTTGACAAGGAACATCAGCATTCAGCCAGAAATGTAACTACTGTACATTCAGGCAAATGTATTTACAAAAAGCCATGTGATCAAAAGCCCTGGATTACATTTCTGCTGGAGATCTTCCCCACTAACATGGGAGTGGGGAGAAAGTGTCTCTGCTCTGCTATATGTTTACCAAGAAGAAGAAGAAGAAGAAGAAGAAGAAGAAGAAGAAGAAGAAGAAGAAGAAGAAGAAAGGAACCACATAGGGCGTTGATATGATGTTATATAAAATCAACAAGCTACCTTTACTTTAGTCTGTAAGAGTAACTGGTGCAAGGTCAATAACTGTAGCCTTGTGAATTTGAATTACGGCAGCACCATCTAAAAAAATCACAAGATTACATAGGCCACAGTCCTATGTACTCTTATGAGAATTTATCCCCACAAAATTCAATGGAACTGATTCTGAGTTAACATGCATGGAATTATACTACTAATTTTTCAAAGTTCACAGTGCTAGATGCCAGGATCATTAATCCTCCAGCATCTACTTCCTTGGAAACATGTGGTCAAATTCTCTACAAATTCAGACAGAATTCTAATGCCTTTGTAAAAAATAAACACACCCACACAAACTGCCACCTTATTTATGTTGCAATAACTTCAACAAGTATCTCTACTTTAATGTTGCAGCAACTGTGTACAGTATGTGGGGGGTGTTACTGAAAGTAACAAGAAGCTTATTTTAGCAGACTGGTGTTCATGGCTGAGTTTCATATCTCTATCTGATTTTCAAAAATATACAAATCAGCACCTATACTTTCCTAAAGTGGCAACAGATCACTTTCCCTGGTGACACAAGAGAGACCAATATGTCACTGCAGAAAGATGACTAGTACTGTATTTGGGACTCTAGGTATATCAGCATCACTGGAGGCAGCAAGGGGAGTCCTATGGCCCTTACCAGGGGGAAAGGGAGTAAGACGTGTTAAGCGTACAGATCAACCCAATAGGAGATTACCATCCTCCCTGTTTATCCTCAGCCTCTTTTCCTGGTGAAAATGACAGGGGCAGGCATGCCTGGGAGCTGGCTGTTGCAAAGCTCAGATTACACTTGATCCCAGGTCCAGATAAGTCTCTCCCTGAACAAAATGATCCCCGCAACTTTCAACCGGATTTCACCCGCAGCAAGAGCGTCAGGCCAGCGATAAAAGGCGCTCGCACTTCAGAAGCACGATCGTGACCAGAAAACACAAACAAGGCAGGATTCTTTCCTCATTCGGTAGATCTCTAGGGGCCAACTCGCCTCAGGCAAACATAATCCAAACACGGATAAATATATATATAGACGCACACATATAGACATAGATATAGATATATAGAGAGAGACACCGATATATATGCACATGCCGCGGGCGCAACTGAGACAAAAAAAACAACACAAAAAACCCGGCTGGTTTGTTTTTCCTTGCAAATGACGCCACAGGTACGCGCTGACCGGTCCCTTTGGGACAGGTTAGGGAAATGGGTAACACAGACACAAACGAAGTCTATTAGCTCCTAAACGCTGTTTCTGAAACCGTGGAGTAGAAGCCAGTACTCCCCCCCCCGGCCGTATTTGGCCAGCCTTACAGGAGGGGCAGCGCTAGCGGTGGGGGAAGAAGATGAGATCATGATGGGATCCGAGGTGAGAAACCACGCAGGTTGATATACAGTGTACTTAGGAAATGCGAATGGCGAGGGGAAAGCCAGAGGACGCCTCCCTTGTGCCGGGGGAGGGCCAGTTACACCTGCCGGGCATCCTCAATGGATCCAAAGCCTTTGGGGCGTATTGCTGTAGCCCAGCTGTGCGTGGCAGGTGCCGAGGGGAGAACAGACGTTGCCCAGGAAGAAGGGAACTGCCAAGAGGGGGAGATCGGGGCCCCAGGAAGAGCCCCGCCGCAAGTGCACACGGCGAAGGGAAGGGAAGGTCGTAAAATGGGCAACGACAGGTTAACCCGCCATGGAGCGGGCAAGGGGGCGAGCGGGCGGTGCACAGGTGTGTGTGCGCGCAAGGAAAAGATGGGCGTGTGTCTCCTCGCCCAGGAGACTCAGGGAATTTGTTTCCGGGAGGGGGAGAAGGCGGCGGCGCGGGCGCCTCCTCTTGTCAGCTCCCTGGCTCAACTCACGGGCAACTCCACCGTGACTTCGGTCCCGTCGAGCAGCTGCACCCGGCACTGCAGCGCCGCTCTGCCGTGTGGTTGGATCAGATATCATCAGGAACAGAGAATATAAATGAAAGTTATTGCTAAATTTAACCTGAAGTGATTTCAGATCAGATATTGGATGAGGAGGATAAGCTTAAAACGCCGCCCCTCGCGGCGCGGCGAGGAGGAGGAAGCGAGCCCGGGCAGCGACCGCGCGGGAGGGAGCTCGCTCTCTCCGCCGGCGCCTCTCCTTGCAGCGCCACCCGCCGCCGCCCCGGAGTCCGGCACCGCTCGTCAGAGGTGGGCTCGTCACGGCGCAGCGGAGGCAGGCCGGGCGGGCGGGGAGCGACTCCTCTGTGGGCGGCCCTCCGCGACTCCGCCTTCCTTCCGGCCGCAGCCGACGCCTCCACCCGACACCGCTCGGAAGAGGCAGCCTGTAGGGAGCGCGCCTCCCGGGCGTGTGTGTGTGTGGGAGGTTCGTTCCCTCTCCGCCCGACCCCCGCGGGCTGCGCCGCGTCCAGCTGCCGCCCCTTCCCTGCTGGGAGGGAGGGGGCCGGGAAGGCCACCTGGACTCCCTTTCCTCTCTCCTCCGCCCTCCCAGTGGCGCCTCCCTCGTTCCGCCGGCCGTGCTGCGCTTCTCGGCCTCGCCTCGCTCCGGGGAGCCGCTTGACCAGGGCTGAGGAGAGGAGAACGGGAGGCGGGCGCCCTTTCCAGGTCTAAGGGCTGTACCTGGCGCTTTCCACCTGGTAAACTTGCCCCGACAGAGAGCGGCTGCAAGACCAGAAAGCGGCGCTAGTTTCGGTTTCCCTGGGCGCTGGTTTGGCGCCCTCTGTTGCCGGGGCTTGCTTTGAGGCGCAAGAACCAATTACCTGTACTCTGACCAACCGAAACTAGTATAGTTTTGGGAGAGGTTGCTGGAATAAGCTAGAATGTTTATTCTCTGAGGGAAAAAAAAATCTCGATAATATTAATGGAACTGACTTCCAGGGAAAAAAAATCTACCAAGACCGGGAGGGTTGGCAGGAGGGGGGCTGAGGCAAGACCACAAGAAGGTGGGGAGACAGGCGTTGGTGCCGAGACCGCCTCCCACAAATCTGGCTGGCCTCAGTGTACTTGGAAGGGAGCTCGCCAAACGGCGCCTCCTATGGTGTGCTAATGTTATTGTGTCAATAATTAACTACGGCCAATGGTGTAGTTAGTGCTTAGTGCATTAATTAGACTTAATGCTTTGGAGAGGGAATCAACTACTTTTGCACCTCGTCAACAAAATTAGCAATCAGCTTCATCTCTTTTCCCTGGCCACAGAGGTGTTTAGCTTCAGAGTGTGCAAAGATACGTGACTTGAGGAATTTATTCTGTATCGAACCTGGGTCTAGGGTGCAGCAGAAGGATAACTGTAGTGAAAGTGGGGGAAGGACAGATGTTCCTGAATTGGTGAAATATTATAGCAGAATTGTCTTATCTTTGGTCCTGCTTTGTTCGGAACACTGACTGGTATCTTTGAGGAAAACACATGGAATGGTCCCTTGTGCACACAATTCCTCTTTCAATGCTGCTTACGTAAGGGAGAATTAATTAACTCCTTGAACAACCGTAGAGCCCCATTGTTTGCAACAGGCAGAGCTCTGGCCTGCTCTCAGATTTACAAAACAGATAAACAGGTAATTATATTTTCCATGCTGTCTTATAGGAAGTGCTGGCCACTAAGAAATAATCTGACTTTTTAAAGGAGGAAGTGAAAGGAAGTCTCTACTATTAAGCCCTGGCTCTTCATCTTGAGGTAGTTTGATGTGTTGCTTTCCTCACCACATTGCTCTGTTTTCTAGAAACTTGATGGGAACTTATGAAAGGAAGGCTGATATGCAAAATGGTAGACCTGCAAACTTTGCGGTAGGCCAAGAACTAGATAAGAGTCCAATCCTAACTAGTCAAGAGGCTGAGGACCACCTAAACAGACAGTTGGCCAACTGGAGCTCTGCTGGGTCCAAATCCCTCCCATTTTAAGGCTAGCAGAAATTATTTAGGATCAGCCTCACCTAGCCCGGCGGTTCTTCACCTGGGCGATATCGACCCCCAGGGGGCGATTTTGTTTTTCAGGGGGATGATGGAATGAAAAGGGGCAATGTGGGGGTGAAGGAACAGAAGGGGGCAATATGGGGGTGATGGAGCGAGCCAAACCTGAGAAGGCGGCTGCAGCCGCAGTGCTGGCAGCAGACCCGGCAGGCGGATCCAGAGCAGCTGGTGCTGGGAGCGGATCCAATGCTGCCCCCATTGCAGGGCAATGATAACCTCCTTAGTGGCTCAAGAGGGTGTTTCTTTCAAAAAGGTTAAGAACCACTGACCTAGACTACATTTTGGTGCTGGCATAGTGGGCTGTGTCCCTAGGTTGGAGAGAGTTTGGATTTGGTGTAACTTAGCTATTGCCTGATGCTGTCCTTTTACCACCACCACCACTTTCCCTCCGGCTTTTTATTGGTGCTTTGTTTTTAATTGGTTGATCATAACCAGCACAGCACTTGTGCCAGCAAAGCATTTTGCTGGCAGATCACTTGAAATCAGCTAGCACAAGGGTCGTCGTGCCAGCACAAAAGCATCTGCCCATTCCAAACCCACTATGGATCATTCTATGAGTTAGAATTGTACTACAGTTGTGTAACTTCTAAACACTTTTCCAACTGATATTTATGGCTATAGAACAAATAAAGGGTTGCATATTGCCATTTGTGAGGATTGATATCTTAACCGACCAGATAGGCGGGATATAAAATAAATAAATAAATAAAATAAAATTGTTCCATGTCCCGACATACATACATACATACATACATACATACATACATACATACATACATACATACATACATACATACATACATACATACATACAGACTTTTCTGATGACTCCTTACTAAAGTTAGTTAAATGTTTCAGTAATCCCTGTTACAAGCAGTGATTCTTTTAGTGAGAAAAGAGTGTAGGGGATACTAGTCATTGCCAGTGAGATGGCAGATAAAGACTGCACTCAACTGTACATGGTAGAACTATTTAAGCATTGACTTGTTACCACCTTTATTGGTTTTTTTTCTTTTCTGGCTTTACTCTTCTCATTTGAAATTTGTGAAAGTAATGAGTATTCTTCAAGTTATTCATTATTAAAAATAAATAATAGCCAACAATTCTACAGTTAAGGCTTTCTTCATAATCTGTTCTCTCCATAGATGAAGATCTCTCAAAGGAATTACTTGTCTTGTCAAGGCTGATGATGGTTCTTTTGGAATTCAGTGATAATGAACATATCAATGGAGGAAAAGTTGCCAGACTTTATTAGGGAGACAAGAGGCAGGAAAGCAAAAAGCACACACACTAAAACAGTAAAGTGGAGAAAAATCTTATGGTGGGAGCCACTGAAAAACAATAGTGGACAAGCCCTGAAGATCACTTGTGCAGCACCCTCCAGAGTCCAGTCTATGCTGAGGCTTGGTGGGGGCCAACATGCTGTTTAGAGCATGCATCTGCTCATTAAGCACACCTTTGTATGACCAACTTGTTAGATGTTTACATTTCATTAATTGGCAAAATAATAAGAGAACATCTCGCTACTGAACAAACTGATAAGAAAACCAGTCATCAAAGTACAACACCTGCTACAATTGTCTGACCTAAGTACTCCTTACCACTTTTCAAACGTCTCACTAGAGAACATTTGGAATAAACAATGTGCCACCTTCTTGAGTCTCTGCCAGTTTCCAGCAGTTGGAGTCTTCCCCCAAGGAACCTTTAGCAACCTCTGATGCCTTGTGAGTGTCCAGCAGCCTACGCGTTGGGCACAGAGAGGAATATGGGTGCATACTACACGAGACCTCCTCCTCATTTTCCCATGTGAACACTACAACCCACCTTTTAGTGACAACTTTTACAATATACATCTAATCCATTAAAAGAAAGAAAGAAACCCACCCACCCACACCCTATTAAAATATTAAGTTACTGCTTCTGATATCAATCCTAAATAGGGGGTTCTTTCTTTCTTTAGTTATTTCATTCATTCTTTCTTTTAATGGATTAGATTTATATTTCAGGAAGATTGTCTTCCAGATCAAGGAAAAAATGACACAGGCACAAACTGTGGGGGGAGGCTCATATGAACAATCTAGTCTTGAGTAAACCCCAGAATTAAGAGTAGTGATAAACTATTTTAATATAAAGATCTTAAAACAATTCTAAAACTCAATTGGGGCAGTTAAAATACAATTTCAATTATGTTGTGGCAGTAAGTACTATTTTAAAATTTGTTTTTTTTATATAAGTGTCACCCATAATGCAAAAGAAGGAAATGAACATCAACCAATCAGGACCAGTGACCTAAATTAAGAGCACTTAATCATAAAAACATACAGCTTTATGCTATTAATCATACAGTCTTGCTAGAAAACATGATCCACTGAAGAACCCTGAGTCAGATGCTAGTAATTCTTTAAAGGCACTCTTCCAGAATTTAAGCTGCTGGAAGAATGGATCATATGGTGAAGTCATTGTTTGTATATAGAATAAATAGATGCTAAATGTTCAAGAAATGATTGTCTTTTCAGTTGCTTAAATAACTCTTAATGTGTTGATTTCTCTGATAGTCCTATGGTCAAAATTGAATCTAGCTAGCTTTTATAGAGAATCTGTTGGAAAATTTTGAGACATTTGTAACGAAGCACAATCTCATTTCCCCCAATAAAAAAACAATAGCAAATTGTAATAGGAAAAGCAGCTCTCCATAATATTTCAGTGTATTGGAGAAAAGAAATTAGAAACCAGGATTATCAACTTGGCCAACCCTAGTTGGCCTGTTGGTCGTCAGGAGCAATAATAGTATTACTCCACCAGAGGGTCGGTGTCTGCCTTACAGTGGACCCTTGACTTACAGACGGCTCGACTTACAGTCTTTTTGAGTTACAGACTATTTTGAGACATTTGTAACGAAGCACAATCTCATTTCCCCCAATAAAAAAACAATAGCAAATTGTAATAGGAAAAGCAGCTCTCCATAATATT